TAGACCTCTTCTTTTGAGCCACAAGACTTAATGATGTTACATCTTGTAGCTCTTTAGAAATTGTTCCTTCAGAAGTTGTCTGGCAATTAGCCAAATAACTAAAGCAGCTGTGTTGTATCGTTGTTAGTCTAAAGTTGATGCAGGTCTCAACAAAAACTATTAACCATTAAATATTATGAATCATCTATAGAGAGAAGAGTGACTGTTGGCTGCCCATTACTATGCACGTGTCCTTTTTCATGACCATGTTGCTCAGTTTTCTGTGATATTTTGAAAATCCAACTAGGATTAGTCTTTGGCTCCTCTGAAGGAGGAGGTCTGTGAAGGTCACAACACATTTCCAGAAATGCATTGCTCAGCTTGTCCATACTTCACGTTGTTGTTTTTTTTGTGTGTGTGTTAGAGAGTCGTGTCCTGTGCCCTCCATGCCCTTGGTATTAGCTGTTTGGGTAATCTTCTCTTTCTGTCTGACATCACACAATGGTTACTTTCCATACAAGCATTTTCCAAGCAGGGAAGAATATAAGGACTGGATACAAAATTTTCAGATCAGGGTAGTTCCACATGCACTTAAAATCAAGCGTGTGCTGAAGCAAGTTTTCTGGATTATGTCCTAAATGCAGAACCTATTTATTTGTTGTAGCTTTTTTCCTGAGTAGCACTTCAGATACCTATGAACACACTAAACCACAAGGGATTTGTAACTCATACGAGGCTGATATCATTGCTTAATGTGCAGCATTAAGCCTGAGTGTAAAGAGAGCATTTCTAGGTCAATCTCCAAACTATAGGTGTGTTTCTTGATGTGTTTTAATAAGATACATCTGTTTCTCAACTCTTCTATCAAAAAACCCCCCCTAGCCATTGTTTCCTACTGTAATATTTATATGCAGTGAAGCTCACAAGCCCAGGTGTCCTTGATAATACAGTACAATTAAGCAGTTACAAAGTTAAAGTGTATATATATATTTTTTTTCCTATTTAGCCATTGAACTGAAATCCACACCTGGAATTATATTTTAAACTGAGTACCTCCTGGATTTAGACCCACTTACTGCCCTGTCAAGCCATAATCACACAAGATCACTCTGTCCCCCCAACACATAAAATCTTTCAAACAGCCTGTTCTTTTGGGGAGGTACAAGTACCTTGACCCTACCTCTTGTGGGGCTTATTTCAGGTCTGAACGCAAGACTATAGGGCTTCAGGGTGCACATAATGCAAAAGACATCAGCTCCTGTAAACTATGACAAATGTGAGTAGTTAACCACTCTGTAAGCGTGACTTACTGATTTCTCACCAGGATGCGGAGGGGATGGAGTAGTGCTACCAAGGGTTAAAGTCACGGCCAACTGCTCAGTTGACTGATCATCTTCTCTTTTCTGTTTGAGACTTCTGAAGTTTGTCTCTGGTTGCTACCTACCTATGGCTGTTCTATTCATAGTGGATAGTGTGTGATGCTGATATTTATTTTGCTTTATGCGACCAATGGTTACCTTATTTTAACAGTGCTGCTGTATTGAGACATTCATCTTCCTGCAAACTGCATTTAAGACAAAAAAATTATTCCACATAGAGAGTACCCAAACAATGTAAAGATGAATATTAAAGCATTTCCTTTGGCCTCATTTTGCTCCTGGGAGAAGAGTTAGTTGGAAAGCATCCAGTTATACCCTGAACGTTATTTGAACAAGGATCAGAGTTCCCAGGGACTTGACACTAACAGAGTTGCTTTCTAACTTTTTTAATGAGGAAGAATTCCTGTTTCAGCTCTGCCGTAAACAAAAAACAGCTGCAGCGAACACTCTGTAGGGTAATGGTTAGAGCAGGGCTCTGAGAATGAGGTGTGGCCCCATTAAGGTCAAGGGAAAAAACTCTATTATTTTCAGGATTTCACCCTTCTCTTTCCCCTCCCCAATCCTTGTGCAAACTCTGCTGATGGAAAGTGGCCAAGTCCCAGATTTCCTGCACTTTGGAGCTGCTGTTTGTAAACTCACGAGGGAAATGTAGGTAGCTGGTTTGCACAACGCTTGGAGATTTTGTAAATGAAAGTGATAGATGTAAGCAAACTATTGTCCTTTGTGATTTGCCTTTAGTTGCAGTCGTGGTTTCGGTATTGACTTAACATTTCTAGCATTGATTGGGATACTCTGCAGATAATTGTCTAGCAGGTGGCAAAGTCGGAACTAATCCATCAATTGGTTAAATTCCACCTAGTCTAAATAATCCTGTTAGTAGCTGTTTTGCCCTTTCAGCAGTCACTTTAATTAATATTCAGGGTTGTGCAGGCAGTCAGGTTTCTGCCCTGCTGACACAGTGAGTGATTATTTTAATTTTAAATTAGAATTAATTTCTAAGGGTCTTTTTTGTCCCATATCAAGCACACACAGCAACCTCTCAAAAACTTGCAATCAGTTCATCACCAGCTTGTTTTTTTCTGTATCTGCCATGACTGTCTTGTCTAGTTTTGTCCCTTCCATTTAGAATATGCTAGTAATTTAAGGGCGTGTGTGTAAGTAACTTCTGAAATGGATGAAACTCCCCATGCGAAATACATTCTTGTGTATCTGTTTGCAGCACTAAGTTACAAGCAACAAAGTTTTCTGTGGTGGTGAAGACACTTTCACATATATTGTAAGCAGGAACGTATTTGCCATATCATGGAAGCAATTTATAAAGCTAATTGAAAATGCAGGACTTCATGCGAAAACTTCTGAATGAGAAGGTTTTCACCCAGGTCTTTAAAATGATATTTTAAAATTTTGTTGCAGAGGAGCGTGAATCAAAGTGAACATGAATTTTCTACATTTGGTGAAGTATCTGCTCAAGTTGAAGAAATCAAGTTGCCTACTTGATTTCTTCTAGTTTTGGCAGCTTTCTTCTCCCTCAGGCTGGAACAACTCTGTTCTGTTGGTTTTAGTGGCAGAAACTCAGGGAACAAAAATATGGCATTACCACCTCAAACTAATTTTTCAGATTCCGAAAAAATGAAACCCAGGTTTTCACTTTGCTTTGGAATTTCACAGATAAACTGCGATGTTTGCTCATGGTGGCTTCTAGAGAAATGTTGTTTCTGTCAGGATTAAATGACTTTTGACTAACTTTAACAGGAAAACAGGTGGCTTTGAGACAGCATTGAGTTCTTTGGAAGTGATTTAGTGGCCTTTCTGAAGTATAGTGTTTCAAAGACGCTGTTTCTTTCAAGATAGAAGGTTAAGCAAACAGGAGAGTTGCAATACAAAGGCAAACCTTTAGGGCTGGGGTGGGTAGCTTTGTTTCTGAACTTCTATTACCTTTGAATTGTTTTTGCCACAGCCCTACTAGTATGAGGTAACGCAAGCAGGATTAGTTTGGCAGAATTTTGGGACAGGGAGCTGATGTCCAGTGCACAGTTGCACCACGCCACAGTGACCTGTGTATTGTCATAAATCTGGTTTTGTTTGATTTATAACAAAGTATAGTACTAGAGCCCTGGATTCATCGTTTCCTCTTCATCGAATACTTCCAGTCCTTTATCGCCTACCCTCATGGCACCTCTTTGCCCAGTGAAGTGTTCATTGGAGGTTTTATTGGTATTAAGGCTGCATCAATTGACTCTTCTTGGCACGCAGGGTCAAGCAGGCTGCGCGGTGAGTTAAAAGTTCAGCACGGTCAGCAGGCTTCTTGGTCTGTAGCTACAGCTAGAGAGAGAGTTCCTTGTTAAAAAGACTCAGTTGCAGCGTCTGTGCAAAGCACTGGGTGGAATGCTTGCCACAAATCTGCATCAGATGATGTTTCTGTAAAATCCAATTGTATTTAAAAAAATAAGTAAATCACGTAGTATTGCAGTAGCACCGGACAGGAAGAAATCTGTATCTGTAATTTTGGTTTGTGAAGAAATAGTATGAGAACCTGAAAAGATCTCATGGAACTTTTGTATTTCTAATACTTTATTCTTAAAATGTGTTCCTGATTTTGCTGTGCTATACAACAGTGTTTTTACAGTCTGGGGGAGTATCTGCATTCTCAGGCTGTTCTGTTCTCCTGTCGTAAGTGGGATGCTTTGCTGACCTGTGCACACTCATCTGAAACCTCAGTGTGACCCAAGCCCTGTTTCTACTGTAAGAACAAGCACAGCTGAGTCTGTCAAGACTGGAAGCCCCTGTTGCCTGGAGGGCAACCCTCTACCTGAACGAGGTGTCAAGATGCAGAATAAATTCACTAGGAATTTTTTTTTTTCAGGAAGCGCTCTTTTCTTTTTTATTTCTCTGAATTCTCCTATGGAAATTGCATGCGCTGACAGCCTCTGCATCTCTTAGGTGAAGCCTAGAGAAACATGTGATTTTTTTTTTTTTTTCTTTATCAGTGCCAAGTCTCTAGAGCATTTGATTATTTTTTCCCCTAATGTATCTATTTCCCACAACAAAAATATAACTGGGGAAGGGAAAAGAGCACAAAGATCAGAACTGAAAGGCTGAAATTGCCCTGAAATGCCTCTTCCTGGGGCAAGTGCATACACTGATGACACAAACATGGGCTGAAATTCATTTCCTGAGGACTCTCCATCATTCACATATCCAGGTGACCCTCAAATAAGTGGGCTTTACACCAGGGCTTGCAGGTGTGTTTGAGGAGGTAGCCTGTGAATTCATAGACATTTTTCCTCTACCTAGAGTCTTTAAATCTCTCCAGAGCTCCCAGAATAAGGATCAGATTGTTCCCATCTCCAGGAAACAAAATTCAGAGATGCGTTTAAATTCTGAATGCTGCCAGCATGTGGGTAATTGAGAGGTAGCAGTGGGTGGTTCTCTCGGCAAACACCTGATGCCTTTCAGTGTGAGCTTAGCTCTTGCAAATTTTGCTCTCAAACTACCTTTCCCCTTCCTTCTCACCTTCTTCCCCTCTACCATATTAACATGATGCTAATGTCTTCGTTTTCTTTCCAATTGCCTTTTTTTCCAGGATAGCATTGGACTGTGCTTAACTGTTGTTTTTGTTGGGGGTGGGTTTTGTTTTGGCAGATGTTTATTGAACAAAACAAGATGAAAAGGCAAAGTCAGTTGCTTTTGCAAAATTCTGCTCCAGATCAACAGCTTTTGAAGGCTTTGGATGACAATGCTAAGCTAACCCATACATTAGAAGAAGAGAGGCTTCAACACCAACAAAAGGTAAAACAAGATTACTTTTCATCTCATGCAGAAGTCTTTGAAAGCCTCCTGCATTTAAGGAGTGTCACATATTCGTTATGCTCAGAATTATTTAAGATCTTGTCCCCTAGAAGCGTTTACAATCTAAAAACTAACCTTCAGAGAAGATTGTGATTCCCTTCTTCTGGTTCACTGATAAGACATGAGTACAAAACCTGAAGGTTTTTCAGCCTAAAGGCTCTGCTTTAGTTAAGTAAAGCACAAGCCTAATTACAAACGCACAAGCCTAATTACAAATGTTATGTGAAGTTCCACAAGTGAAGAAGAGGTGACAGGAAAATATTTTGCATGTTGAGTAATAGAAAGGGTATTATAGAAAGGATATTTTGGGGGAATAAGCTAAGAAAACCAGAAAGTGAGAGGTAGAGTTCACAATAGGAGTCCAGTCACTTGCTAAGGAAATGCATAGGGAAGAACCAGACATACTGGAGCAGGGAAATGTTAGGTGAATGCTGCAAAGTGATGTGATAGGATCTAAAGTGCTAGGATCTAAATAAATATATTATTTTAAACTGGACTAAATCAGCCTCAAACTGGGAGAGATCACCATTGCTTCCCTTGAATGCATGAAAACGAGCTTTCCCTTAGCTGTGAGGCCTGTTCTTAAAACTCTGGTAATGTAGTAATGCTAGGACTAGGTAGACAGTCCCTGTGCTTTGATCAGTGCAGCAATACCAAGACTATATATAATCTCACGTGCTTCTGAATGAGTATTTTGGAAGAACAATTGCCAGTTCATAGAAGACCTCTGCAACTTTGGCTCTTGAAGTCTAGAGCAAAACGTATATATTGAGGGAGTTGGGAGTGATTGGTACTCTGCTCCTGAACGCTGCCTCTAAACCTGATGTTCTGTACTTCACCCACTGGCATTTGCACGAATTGAGACAAGGGAGTTTAAATAACCAACCTGTCAGTGGAAGCATTCAGTAAGAGAACAAAAATGTCAATGTTCTCGTGCTTCAGATGAAGACACGTTCCAAACTTAAATTCTAATTATGTGATAAAAACTCTATGAAAAGAAAAAGAGAACATCTTACAGCTTAAGTACTTTGGAGCTAAAGACGTATTCTAAAAAAGAGGTAAAACAAGTTAGGATCAGAATAGAAAATTCTGACATCTCTAAAAAATCTGTCCAGCTCTCCTTCAAAAATTGTCCTCTTTCTGGGAGTGGTAGTTCAATGCTGTACTATAACATCCTGTTTTCAGGAGTAACTGTGCCTAATGGGTTATTTGTCAAAAAGGACAGAAAATACTTTTTTTTTTGTAATGGATGCTGTTGCTTGCCAACTGCAGATCAAAGAATTGGAAGAGCAGCTAGAGAATCAAGCACTGCATAAGGAGATTAGTCGTCTTAAACAGCAACTAGAACTTTTGGAAGAAGATAAAAAGGAACTAGAGCTTAAGTGTCAGAACTCAGAAGAAAAAGCTAGAGACCTAAAGCATTCAGGTAAAATCATGTAATAGCTTTCATTTTAGAGGTACAACTGCGTGTGTGTGAGTGGTGCACATCTAGTAGAATTATACATGTTTGAGACTCCAGAAGCAACAGCTTTTGTATAGCTGACCAGACCTGTGCTTCACAAGACAAAGTACAGCAACTGCCTTCAACCACAGAACAGTTGTGTCCAGAATGCGTGTGAAAGAATAACCTTGCAAAACTTCTGTAAGGCATAAAAATGCTGTTGTTAGATTGCCCTGAATCTTACAGATGGATATATGCATAAATAGATTTCTATGTGAGATACAATCCTTCATAGTCAGTCAAAATGCATCCTCTTAAATAGTTTTAAAATAAATAAAACGAGATAAGTCTGCTCTTTTTTTTTTAATAAAAATTGTACAGAAACATCCCATAATTATCAAGCTACTCAACCATTTAATAGTCTTGTAATAGGTGGCACCAGTGAAAATAAAGACATGATTTAGCCCTTTACATTGATATATGAGAAAACAGTTTCTGCTGATCTGAGAGGATCTGGAGGTTTTTTTGTTTGTTGGTTGTTTTTTTTTTTTTTTTAAACAGATATTAAAATCCTAAGTACTGACTGCAGAGCCCTACGAAGTGAGTTAGCCAAACAAATCCAGTGGTTTTTTTTTCACTCATATCCATGAGAATTATACGTCTAAATCTCTTACTTGTAGTCAAATATTTTGTTCCGTGTCAAGCAACTCAAAGGAAAGAAAGTCTTGGCAGCTACTCTGTGTGTCTGAGATTTAACTAACGCCCAAATAATACGGACAGAAAGGATTCACAGAATATTTAGAACAGAGCGACTGTGGCAGTGCAGATGTTCATACTGTTACTGCTATCAGGATGGTGCTTGTCTGCAGCATCCTAGCTATTGAATGAGGAAAATTCTGACCTAATGCTCTTTATTTAAAATTGCTCTTAAAACAGGCCCCTGGTGTGTGCGTGGCCTCGCTGTAGGGAGTGTGGGGCTATGGCTGGTTAAGTATTTGCATGTGCCTTTGCTTTCAGTCTTTGTTCAGCTCAAGGGCTAAGCAGGTGCTAGTTTTAAGTATGATACCTGGTGAGGAAAGCATTTGAGCCCCCATCAGAGGGGGCCAAAGTCCCTGTCTTTTGTTAAGATTGCCTCTATAGCCATACTTTTCTGAAACATATCCTGAAGAGCAGGATTATCTTTAAGCTTGTTAGCTGTCTTGCTTAGAAGAACTGCTTTATGTTGGAGTTTTACATTACCCAGCCTTAAAAATACACCTAGGCAGGCGTGTGAGTTCTTCTCAGCTGCCTTGGAAAAGACTGAACCTTCACAGCAGATTCTTTCCTTCCAGGCTCGTTTGTCCTTCAGAAGGAATTTTTATTGGTGTAAAGATTGTACTTGGAATTTAAAGTCACTCGGTTGATTTGGTTTTTTCCCTTTTTAAATTTAAAAGTAAATATTAAAGATCATAATTTTAATTTGAATCCATCATTATGAGAACAAAGAACCAAATTCACTTTGGAAATCATATTCTGTACTTCTGCCATAATTCCTACTGTATTCAGAAGCAATTGCTAAGAATTTTTGTAACTAAAAGAAATTTAAGACTTTTTTTTATCTGTTTCTGCCCTTCCCCATTTAATTGCATTTGATAACATTTCAAGCACGGAAAAGTAATTTCCACATTTTAGATCTGACACAAAAACATTCCACACACCACCCAGTTTGGGCAATTTTTGTGGGGAAAAACCACACCAAAGTCCATCAGCAAGGCACAGAGATAAGACTGGAAGCTGAAACTGTTCATTTATCTCATCTCTTGTTAGTTCATTTTCAAATAGACTATGGCAGGGCGATAAACTTTTCCCTGCTCTGTCCTTTTATGTGAAGAATCCTGTTTGAGGAAGAGTGCCATTTTAGTTTCAAAGTAACTCAGGCTGGACATAACCGGTGTAAGGAGAATCCCATGCATCTAGGACATTGTTCTTGCTAGAAAATATTACCAAAAGAGGACTTTGTAGCAATTGCGTGGTTTCGTCGTGCTGTTTGTTTTTTAGTTAATTAGTAGCTTTTTTGCTTGAACCATCAGAGTTGTGTTTTAGAACAGATGTGAGAAACCAAGAGCTCACTCTGGTTTGTTTATTGCTCTTGCGCAGTTGACGAACTTCAAAAACGAATACAGCAGTCCGAAAATCCAGCGCCACCTCCTCCACCGCCGCCGCCTCCTCCTCTTCCTCCTCCCCCTCCTCCTAACCCTATACGGTAAGTGCTAAATCAAGGGTCACAGCATTAATGCTTTGCTGAAGCAGAATACACTACATGAGCTTACATCCAAGCAGGAAGAGTGCCTTCAAAGAAAAAAAGGCTTTCTCCATCTGTCTTGGGCTCTTTACCAGCAGGACACGCTCTCTGCCCCACCTGCCAACAGACTAACGCCCTGACCAGTTTTGAACAGTGCCTGCCTTGCCAAGCCTGACAAATTGTCTAGACTGTGACTTTGGAGGAGGATACCTGTCTCCTCTAAACATAGGAGATTACTTTTTTTCTATTCACCTGATAGCTGTAATTATAGACTTGTGAAGTGCGTGTCTGAATCTACTGCTAAGAAAACCCCTTTGAACCAAAGGATATGTTGGATTACTGTGTGTCCCTTCCTGCTGGATACTGGTGATGAAAATATTGAGTTCCCACAATTGCTTTTGTAAGTTAAAAAGAAAAAAAAAACCCCCACAACAGAAAATCACCACCCCATCATCAAGTGGTTTTGGGTGAAATTATAAAAATTAAGCCTGATTTTTGCAAAGGACTGTAAAAGAGGCTGACTAATATGTGATGTATCAGACATTAGACTCCAAATTAATTAACTGAGTCCTAAAGTGTGCTTAGTTTTAGGAACTCAGCTAACCTTTATGTTGACTGCCTGGTTTTAAAAATAAATGGACTTTGATGACACTTTCTAACCTTCTGTAATAGAAATTACATACAGGAGTCTTCTTAACTACTGTGCTAAATGCATGAATAGAGATGATTAGTAGGGAGAATTCATCCCTTTGTGCATCTTGCTTTGTTTTTAGAAATTCAAACTAAATGTGTTCTGAACAATTGTGTTTGGTCTTTTGCTTCTTTTACCTCCATTAATTCATTTGGCTTGCTTGCTTCTCTCTCACTAATGTGTAGCATCAATTAACTGTCTGAGGGTGTTGTGGGGTTTTTTTGATTGTTTTGTTTAAGTTTGTGCCCTTTATTATTTGAATAGATAGGTAACACTATTAACTTGAAGCCCTGAAGTAGCTAAATCAGAGTGTTTCCTTCAAGCACGGTGAAGTTTATGTCTGTAGAGATTGTTTCACAGCCTGGGCACTGGATGCTGTTTTTTTCTAGCACAGAGCTTTCACCCTTTATGTCAGGGAGATCACTCCACTCCATAAGGAACAGTGTTCGGTAGGGAGAGATGGGCCCCACTGACACGTCAGATGTGCATAGCGGCTTATACTTGGGCTTTAAGATGAATCGTTTTCTTGCCTGGACTTTCACGTTTTGACTGTAGTGAAGGGATAATTATTTGACACTGTAAGAAAATTACAAACTTGGAGTTGGTGAGGAGATACTGATCACCATATTTAAGTGTCCTCTGGAGAATAATACTTCGCTTCAGTATCTACAGCTCTTCCTTCCATTTATTATGCCAGAGCAGTTTCAATTTGTCATGTGTCACAATGAGACACTGTCTTTTAATATTCAAATCTTGGAGTGTTTTGATTTGTGCCTAATGTCTGTTAAAAAGAAATAAATTTCTCTGGTGCATTTTGATGGGAGGCATTGTGGGGGGTAATTCATTACATACATCTGCATTCAAGAACTGTTAAATGAGTCTTTTGTAAGTAGCTGTATAATCAGGTATAAGCAAGCTGTTTGTGTGTCATGTTCAAATTCATTCTAACAGTGTGTAATACAGGACAGAATGACAATCTGCAGTTTCATTTTCCCCAAAGGTCTCTCATGTCAATGATTCGCAAGAGATCTCACTCCAACACCAACGTGAGCAAGAAGGAGAAACCTCCTCAGCAGGAGTCAGGTATGGCTCATCCTTTCTCAAGTCATGCAGATTATTCACTAGGTACTGCAGATAAAGCCCGTGGAAGTGAACTGTGGGTACAGGTCGTGATGCAAATGCTTATAATGGTCAATATTAGCAACTGCTGTCGATGTTCCGGCATATTCATCTGCCTTGCAGTCCAGAAACATGACTGCAGCACAGTGTATGTGCTCTGAGAAGGGAAGTGGTATCTTTGGTGTTGTAGCTTTGGCACTGCAAGCTTCCTCGAGATCCTTAGCAAGTTTTCGTAGCCATCTATGCCCTCACAACTGAGCTTGTCATCAGCATCCAGTTTATTTTTTCCACATGGATTTTAGTATGAACAGTCTTTGAGGCTGCAGATCAAAAACCTTAAGGGAAGACCTAACACTTACTGTAACTGAGAAAAGTTCTTACCTTCCTACTTATGGCTTTCATGCTTGACAGATATATCACTGAGCTGATTTCATTCACTGATGTGGCAGAAAAAAATATCTTCTTTTTTTTTTTTTTTCCCCTTGGAGAGAGGGTGGTTGTGTTTATTGTAGGCTCACAGAAGGACCTGACAAGGTAAGCTCTTAGCTGGGTGTGGTGATGTGCTGGGTGAGATGGATGAGGAGAACAGGACAGCTTAATTTAGGCCCCATGCTGTTACACTGACTCTGTGCAGCTTGTCAGGTTGCACTCTGGCAGTTTGGAACTGCCTGTAGTAGTTGCACTACAGCAGCATTGAGAAGCTCAACCTATGCCTTTACACTGGAGACACTACAGCGTGTAGCTGCACCTCCAGTATGTTCAGGGATTTGCACTTCTGCAGGTTGTCTGGAGACAGAAGAATAAACCCAACAAGCATTAAGCTGAGAACAGGGTAATACCAGGAAGTTTGTGATTTCTTCCACCAGAGCCTCTCTGCAAAGCTTGTTTGTTAAATGCTTCAGTTTTCATCCCTCCATTCACATCTTATGAAATTACTACTCAGAATTGACTGTTAATGCTAATCCTTTAATAATACTGAAAACCTAAAACAAAACAGAATCTTGCACTATGGTGGCTCTGCATGCAAAGTAACAGCTGAAATTGCATTTTATTGTTGTTAATGGAAGCTGGAAACTTAGTAGGTTGAGAACAGGAGTTAAGTACGGATTTACAAATGACCATGAGTGCCTGAAGAGTCAGAGCTAGTTAGACAAGTGTTGCCAGTTAAATAACCAAGGTTTCCCTCGCTGCTTCTCTCTTCCTTCTGAAACAGCAGGAGTTTGTTTGCAGTGAATTGCTTAACTCAGTTGCTGCCACTTAAACAAAGAAGGGGGCTGCAGAAAGGAACGTGGCTGAAATTATAGGTGTAAGATATAACTGTTAAAGAAAAAAAATTGCTGTTAGCAGACTGTAATGGTATGTAAGCATGACTGGATTGTTGGATGAGACCAACAAGCAGAAAGCGGGGGAAAGGAAGTACTACCCCTTCCATTTTTGGGGTGAGGAACTGAGGAATGGAGTGACTTGGGCAGGTCCCTGGGAGAATCTTTGGGAACTGGTTGCCAGTCTGAGAGAAATAAGGTTGTTGGTCTGGGTAAAACAATTAGAGAAGTGACCTTGTACCGAGATCTCTGGTGAAGAGTCAATCTTATCTTTCAGTAAAAATTCAATCATGTTGCCTTCATTTATCAAGTTTCCTTACCTCGAAGCATCCTAGATGTTTTGATTGCACGTTCTTGTTGAGACTGTTATAAACAGTGATTGCAGGAAATACTATGGAATTCACTGTAAGTTCTCTACACCCCATTCTTTCATTATTTATTAGCAAACTTTAACAGTTCTGACCTTTCTTCAATCACATATAAACTGCTTCTTCTCTTAATACTTGAGCTGTTCTTAAAATAAAAATGGGGGAAAGTTCTTTCTAGATCTAGTTATTATATCCAACTTGAGGCTTGTTTTGACCCTTGTTAAGGACTTAGAATGAGTGGTTTCTATCCCATACCACCAATTAAGCTTTTGTATTTGAAACAGCCTGTTTGTGAAATTAAAGCCTGACATTAAATCCGCTTACAATACAGAAACTGCATTTCTATGAATCATCAATAGTACTCTGACAAGTGAGAGAGCGAAAGTCTATTTAAAATTCCTGTTACATAAGGTACAATGTTGCAGCTTTGAATAGCAGCAGCCCTGTTTCTCCATGTATTTGCTTTAAGTACTCTTTTTTTCCCCTCTTTGGTATGGCATGTTAAGTGTCTTTTGTTACGTTATCCAGAACACTGATAAGTTAACAGGTATTGTTCAGGTTCATCACATGGCTTCTCATTTCATCTGAATATTTTCGCAGTCCTGATACTGAATCTCTTGAAAAAGCAACCATTTCCTTTCATGGCATTGAAGTTTTACCCTTTAACTTGATGCGGTGTTCTTTAAAGGTGTGCTTGATTTGAGATGTTCATGTGTCGTTCCAGCAAGGTTCTTAAACCCATGTGGAATACGAAACATAGAATTATAGAATGGTTGGGGCTGGAAGGGACCTCAAAGATCATCTAGTTCCAATTCCCCTGCCATGGGCAGGGACACCTTCCACTAGATAAGGTTGCTCAAAGCCTCATCCAACCTGGCCTTGAACACTTCCAGGGATGGGGCATCCACAGCTTCTCTGGGCAACCTGTTCCAGTGTCTAACCACCCTTATTGTAAAAAATTTCCTCCTTATATCTAATCTAAATCTGCCCTCTTTCAGTCTAAAGCCATTACTCATTGTCCTGTCACTACAGTCCTCACTATAGGGTATTGTCAAGTAGTCCTGTATCAATGAACCTGTGGAAATTTCTGCTGAGCCACAGTGAAGAGTGGAAGAGAGAGACAGTGGAAGTGGAGCTGTGTTCTTCAGTCCTTGGTGCTCCAGCCTATAGCACTGAGCTTTTGCAATTCCCAGTTATAGGAGCTTTGCATTTTTCAGGATCTGGGCCCTACTTCTGTCCAGACTTCTGCAGGTGCTGCAGTTTGATGTTTGTGAAGTCCACGGCTGGATCTTCAATGTGTGTAGACTGGCATTTTATCCTTGAAGAGCTTGTGACAGTTTAGCTGGTAGCAAAGATCACCAATAGTGCTGTATGCAGAAACTAGAATTCCTGATAACTAGAGATGAGGCTGCTGGTTTCTGCTACCATGTAGATGTATGCAATGGAAGGTAAAGTGCCTCTTTGTGGTGAGGAAAATCAAGGGTAAGATAGTGGTCCTATAAGAGGACCCTGTGGACAGTCCACTTAGGGGGAGAAAAATTAGCCTATGTATTTATGCTTATCATAAGTGTTCAAGGCCAGGTTGGATGAGGCTTTGAGCAACCTGGTGTAGTGGAGGGTGTCCCTGCCCATGGCAGGGGGGTTGGAACTGGATGATCTTTGAGGTTCCTTCCAACCCAAACCATTCTATGATTCTATGCTGTAAATTTTTAATAAAACTGAGAAAAACCATGGATTTGGATAGTACATGAACAGTATGTATCACACATACAGGCAGGAAGACCTGCTGCAGGGAGTATAACTAAGTATGTGTTTGTGCACATATATGTAAATGCTGTTTCATCATTAAAATGAATTTATGATTATGGTAACTGGCTATATATCGCAAACAAGGTGTTCAGGAGGCTGTTTAACATGTTTTTTTCTTTGTACTATTTCTCTGTAGTTCATATCTGGAATGTGATATGCTCTTTGGTTTTTGGAACAGGTGAAGAAGTTACGGATCTGAAGAGACAAGCTGTTGAAGAAATGATGGACAGAATTAAAAAGGGAGTTCATCTGAGACCAGTCAATCAGTCAAGCAGACCTAAAACAAAGGTTTGGAATAAATACCAGAGCGATAATATTAGCTAAGTACAGTAATTTACACTGAAAATAAATCAGGCTTTCTGCAAAACATTCAGAAGAATACTTTTGCCTCACCTCACTTGCTTTGTTTGATTTTGAATAAAATGAACTACAGCAGCACATATCTGAAGAACAGAAAAAGAGGTAAAGCCAAGAGTAAGTAAATAGAAACTCAGTTTCTTTGACACAGAAGGGAACTGAGAGCAAACATCTTGTAAACAAATAGCTACTGAGAGACTTAAAGCACAGAGGGAATAACTGAATTGGGTGAAGGGCGAGAGCAAGAAGTAGACCATACTTAGCAGTATTTCTTCCTTTTATGCAACACTTAGCGCTAATACATGAATGTGACTACTATAAAATATTGCTTGCTGTCTTCACAAAAGCATAATCTTTCTTTATATATAGGCTGTGATTCACATCATTACAAGCCAAGACTGTTCCTTTCATCTAAATAAGAAAATAAGTGGAATGTTAGCCATGTGCCCGTGGGAGGAGAGAGCAGAGGAACGTAATGCGACTGCACACCTGTGCAGTAGACCCTCGTGCGATGTCCGTCTTCAAGTACAGAATCCGTCTTGGTCCATTTCACGTGTTTTTTGACATGCATGTGTTGTGTTTGTTTACAGCCAGAAACACCAAAGCCCTCTGAAAGCGCAATGAAAGAATTAAAAGGAATTCTGGTAAGAAAACTTGTAGTTGGTATTTCAGTTTTTCCTTCTCATTGAGCTGACAGGGCCTTCTGTGCAACACAGCCGAGTGTTTGAGAGCTCTGCATTAGTGTTTTGGTTTGAAGCTGTAGAGCGGTTTTGGAGCGAATCTCCTGATTCCACTGATGACTTTGGTCTGACTGAAAGACTGGTTTTGGTCTTGCTAACAGAATTTATTTTGGAGAAGACTAGCCTGTTAGCTCTGCTCGGGATTTGTGTGTTCCTGCCACTAGAGGGGATGTTGTGGTCTGCACCTGCCATAGATCTTTTGGAAACTTTCCGAGTACTCGCAGTGGGGATGCTTAGGGAGGGAGAGGCAGCTATACAAATGTAGTCCAAAGTAAAGCCCCTGGACTGCATGTGTAGTAGATGTGGGGTTCTCCTCATCAACCGCTCTGGACTCCTGCTTTCTCCTGAGGCACTGAATTTCTTGTTAGCATGGACAAAGCCTAAATAGAGCAAGAGGTCTCTAATCCATCTGCATTTACATGTAGAAAAATTGATTCTGAATAGCTGTCCACATACTTATTTATCACTAAATAAAACCATTAAGCTTCAGTTGGGTCCTACTCAGAGCAATGTGCTGTTTGCTGCTGGTCTGTCCTTTACTCGTGTGTTACGTTTGCTTATTTAAGTAGTCGTTTCTTTTGCACAAGTGGTAAAATTCGATCAGTTAGAAGGAGCTGCAGTTCTTGCTCCCTGACTTCTGTGACCCTGAAGCTTTTAAAATTGAAGTGCAACTTTGGCACATCAGGTGAAATTTTGCCTTTGTAAGTTGAAATACGGTGAAATTCTGCCCATATTGCAGCAAAATGCTTCACATCCACTCCACAGAAGGTAAGGCTAATAATTCTAATCATCCCTGATAGCACCTAAACAAGGTGCTATATTTTTTTTTTATAAAAAAACTTCAGTATTGTGTTGGGTGCTGCAAGACAGTGCAGCAAAGAGTGTAGCCACAGCCCGTGCTGTGATTTAAAGTCACGAGTGTGGAACCAGTGACTGTTAAACTTACTGTTCTCCAGTCACATGAAAGCAGGGTTAAGAAGGGAAGAAATGATCTAGAGAGCCGCCAGACGCTAATGCTGAGCTCTAATTAGAGGGACACATAATTAAATCTGGAGGTAAATAGAAAAGGAATAAAATGCAACATGGAGATTATGGTTTAAATGGAACTCCGTAAGTATATGAATAGTTTGATGGGGTTTGCTGTTTGGACCAGTGAGGGTTGGACTCAACAATCCTGCCAAAGGTCCTTTCGTTTCCTAATAGCTCTTTTATTTCTTTGACACTGTATCACTGGCATCAGGGGAGGCTTTGATTATGTCCTTCAGAGGGAGCAGAAAGAAACCTGCAGTAGCTGTGCTTCTGTATCTAGCTCGTTGCTTTCGAGCCCGTCAGGATATTTGCAGTGTAAGACAGACTATATGAAATCCAATTCCCGTCTAATCTTGAGACCAGTCATTATGCACAGTCAGACAACAAACATGGGGGTGGGATGTGATGGAGTAAACATTTGTTGTTACTATGCTAATTATGCATTTCACGTAGACCTCCGTATAATTGTTACCAACAAAACACATTTATGTTCTGTAAATTGCAGAGTTTGAGTGACTCCCTTGCGCAAGTTGCTTTTGTGTGTGTACGTTTGTACGGATCCGGAGCGTACTACTCATTAATAATGCACCTGCTCAGTTAAATTTTGAGTAGTTGCCAAAAAAATTATTTTAACTTTGGGGCAGGGGTGAAGAATTAGTAGCTGAAAGTAGTACAGCTCTTGCAACTTGAGATGCCATTTCTTTTTGTCATTTGCTATTTCTACTCACAAGTTATGTGCTTGTCAACAAAAGGCGTTAAGGATGTGTTATTTATACTCAGCATAGATGCTATACAACATGTTTTGGAAGACTGAATAAATGGGATTCCTGGGGATTCCCAAAGATAACCAAGACTCAGAGGGAGAATGAAATAGCACACGGGACCCAAATTTTCAGTTGCATTATAAATATTTTGGGAAATTTTACAATCAAGTGGGTGCTGATCTAATAACTGACTCTTGTCAGTTGGGAAGTGCAGGTTAAAATGTGGGCAGTTTTGGGAGATTTCAGGCTTTGATCAAAGCCTTTTTTATTTCCTTAAGAAAAGTGCTGCTGGATTTCCAGCTTACCTGATAGAAAATACTTGGCATAAGGCAGTAATAGGATGTATTTTTATTTTGTGTGTATAAAAAAACTGTTTCAACTTGAGGTCTGATCCTGTGCGTAAGAGAAACCATGAAGTGGGTGGACATGGGCTCGGGTTGATGCCAGATCAGATCGATTGTAAGATACAATAACATGCTGCAGTTGCAGCGAATACGTACTGACTTCTGCAGATGTGTGCACGCACCAGGATGCAGCAACGCAGGGCCACGCTAAAATATAAAATGTGCTGGAGTAGTAAAATATGGATCTTCAGCTTTTTGCTGGTAGAGGTTAATTATGGGCATGGTAACACTCTAGCAGATTTTTAAGATCCTTTAAATATTAAGATGGAGGAAGTTGGCAGTTCCCTGCAAACGTCAGAATTTATTAATTAGTCCAGAGCGTCTTTATTAAGCCTGATGGTGGTTTATTAGCCCTCTAAGGTGTAGATAAGTAGGGTTAATCCCCACTTCGGGAAATGCAGGTAAGGGGAGGAGTGGTGAGCCAAGCCCCAGATGCTCTCTGTTGTACTAAAGAGAGCTTCACACGCTGGTCTAGAGCTGCAGATAACTTTTCTGCTGTTTAAATGTTTCTTACATTGTGTGTATGGGATGTTTGGCAAGGCGTAATATATCCTCAGAGATTTTCATGCCTGTTTCTTGCTGTAGGAAACATTGAACAAATCCACTAGTTCCCGAAGCTTGAAGTCCCTTGAAACAGACAGCAGTGAAACAGAGCTGGAACGAGTTCTGCGACGTCGGAAAGTGACCACTGACCAGGACAGTGGCAGTAAGTGGCTGGACTCCATCATAGTCCTCATCCTCTTCCTGCGTTAAATAACTCTTGAAGCTTTACTTCCTCTTTCAGACCGTTGCCATTTCAGCCATTACAGAGAGCTCCGCTTACTTCTACAGTGGCTCACTTCCCTGTCACACCTCTTGCTTTTTGTCCCCATTTTCTCCAAGAGATGCCTCTGTCGGGATTTTCTGCGCACGCAGCTGTGTATATGCAGATTGCTCTGTCCTGCCTGGAGCTCAGACATAGTTACTGGACTTCATGGTCTGAGCCTACTGTGAAAATACTCTTGAAAGTTGTGGGAACCAGAGGAACGAGGGCTTAGGACTGATGTTTTGAATTAACCTCTTCTGCAGAGCAAGGGTCTGCATTTTTAAGCTATGCTTTGCTATCATCGTTTGTAAGAAACTGTTCATGTTCTGCTTGGTTGGAAACACAGTCTGCAAGTGTAAGTCCATGCCATAGTCAGTGCAGATGTGTCTGGTTTTAATGTCACCGTATGGTTTTAGCTTGGACTTTGCAGATTGACAGTTCGCTGACTGCTCAGTAGCATGACAACCGGGTTGTTTGTTGTTCCACTGGTGGTCGCTCCGACTGCTCTTCAGGCTGGGGTAACACTGGCAAGTTGTGACTTGGTAGTGCTGTGTGGGCAGCAGGACTTACCGTCCCAGAGGGCAAGGGGATTGAGTGCATGACTGTGTCAATACAGCAAGCCCTGCTTGTGGTACAAGAAAGGGTTAATCTTGGCAGGAAGAGCAGAAGCTGCAAATACCGTGTATTAAAGCTCTCCACATACTGGACGCTGTTCTTTAAAATTCCATTCTGATTTCTGCAGTAGCTTGAATTCTGCTCTGCTCGTGTGTTGTTTCTGGACCAGTCAGTCGGGATAACGGAAGCATTAAACTCTCTTTGGGTTTCAGGTCCCACTGGAACCTTGGCCACATCAGAGTCAAAATCTCTGCCCGTGCTGGGGTCGGGAGCCAGTGCCGCGCAAACAGCGTTGAACAAGAAAGACCTGGAGACAGAATTCCCTTCCAAAGTACCCGACTCAGGCCCTGTTTCTAGCCAGCTTAAGGGTGTTACGGGCTCCAAGCCTGCACCACAGTGAGTAGAATATGGATTTCTAGATGTATTTTAGTACCAGATCTGTTTAGCTGGTGCATTGTGAAAGTGATTTAACGTCAATTTTGGTTAACAGGATGAACGTACAGTCTGCAGCTGTTGACCACTGACTCCTCAAATAATTTGCAGTCATGTGGAGGTAGAAATTGAATTCTCTGTAATAAAGTTCTTTTCCTGTAAAATCTGTGAACATTCTTCAGAAAAAATTTATCTTCTCTGCCAAAAAAAAAAAAGAGCTCAAGAGTTTTTGAGAAATAGCAAGGTTGAGGGTTTTTTTTCATATCCTGAAGAGAAGAGGGATGATAGTTATATAGTTAACTCTTGATTTTTTTCTAAAAAAAAAGTAGTTCTAGCATAATATTTCAAAAAATAGAATCATATAAATCATATTGGTCTGTATGCAGGTGTGCAGGGCAGTTTCTGTTGGACCAAAACAAGCCCTGACTATTACTCTTAAATGTTTGTTGGTAAATAATTCTGAATTACCTTGAAATCTCAAGATTGAGATTCTTCAAGAAAAAGCCCAAAGATACAGTTAGTTCTGCATTTGCACAGATGGGCAGAAGAATCTGTCGTCACAACAGATTGAAGACCCGAGGTGCCAGTCAGGCATCAGAGAGTTAAACCTGCTTCAGAAATCTTTGTTTCAGAGAGATCCCATGGAGGATTGGTTTGTTTTACAACAGTGCCAAGCTCCTTTTGAAATTAGGCCGTGCACTTGCTTCAGTTCCCTTGCCAGGTAGTTTGTCGGTTTGTCACTTCAAGAAAAGGAAATAGATGAGACAAATCAGATCGGCAGAATATTGTAATCGTGGCTAATTAAAACTTTGATTTCCTGTTCTATCAGCTAAAAAATATCACCAGTACCAATTCTAGCAAGTCTCTATTGCTTGGTTCACAGGAGTAAGTCATGACAAATGAGCTGGAAATTCAGTTTGCATCTATTTTTATGAACTGGTATTTACTGCACTCTCCTGCAGGTACTTTTATCATTTATTTTCAAATGGATAAAGAGCCCAGTTTCCTTTTGTGCCCTACAATTTTGTTTAATTCACACTGAGTTTTAAAAACAGAATGTCTTCTCCAATCATATGTATTTTCCTCTTTTATTTCATTTAAGTATCCTTAGAAGAAAGCTGATCTTTATTTTAAGTTAATCAGAAAGATGAAGATTTGTTCAACAGTTAATTTGACATGAATAATGCCATTGCATTTTCTTGAACTGCTACCCTGCCAGAAAGGTGAGGTGGTTCCTGAAAAATACCATGTTTGTAGTTTTCGGATTTCTACAATTTTGAACAGATAACCTTAATCAGAAAATACAGCAACTCCTACCACCTTTTGTCTACCTTTTATTCCACCAAACTAAGTGGAAATTGCATTTACAAGAAAGGAAATGAAATAATTGCAGGCCCCAAGGTCTCGCAGAATGCGTGGTGAATTGACAGTGAAAAGGATCTTGTGTTGACAGTCACAGTTGTTATGTGTTATAAAAGCATACGTGAAGCTCAATTTATTTCTCAGCTTGCCTATTCTGTGACATTCAAAAAGACACATTTCACTTTAATTTATCTGTTTAAAGCATTAAAACAAATGTGGTGCGCCAGATTCTCTAGTACTGCACGGCTTCTTTGCATGGAGTCACTGGTGTAAACCTGCTTAACTGGAAAGGCTCATCACTCAGGATGGTTTTCCAGTGAGAAAGAAGGTGCTGGGGCGCTTGTACTCTTCTGCCGCTGGGCTGGCAGGGAGGAGCAGAAATAACCTAGATACCATGTTGAAGTACAGCTGCTTTTTTCTCCTGGGTGCTGTTGGCAGCAAAGGTTAGCAGAAGCAGCCTTCAGACTCCAGGGTGTGTAACCACTGTTTTGAAACAGGGCTCATTTGAAGCAGACATCAGAGGAAGTTCATTTGTCTAATACGTCTGACAGCTTAGCTCTATAATTAGGCAGTTTTCTGGGCTTCCCTGTGTGCGTCTGTACCTGCAGTCTAGTTTGGATCAGCAGAGCACTTCTGAAGCAAGTCTCCCTATTGTCCCCATTTGCTATGCTTTGGTTTGTATCCTGGAGTGGTCTCAGTGCACCAACTGGATCCCTGGATTCATTGGATGAGTGAAACTAAACCAGAAGATGTGATTCAGCTTTTCATGCCTGGCTGGGGGGCCACAAGAGAGCTGGTTCAGTGAATAACCCCCCTGAAACGTGTGTTAGGAGGACATCGGTCAGAAGCACAGGCTGCTTCCCTCTGCGCCTGCTGCACCACACTATTTCCTCAAGCAGACCCCGTTAACACACGTTGTGCTGCTGTGACCAGATACCCTAAATGACAACAGCCTACAAAAGATTTATTGTGGCTGCTCTTCTCCTTATTCATACCTGAGGTAAAAGGGTGCAGCTGTCTCATCATTTGCGATTCCTCGAAATCTGACAAAGGTGTGACCTGCTTCCACTGTTTGCAGCAGCCAGGCAAACCTTTTAGAGCACAGTAGAGGATTGCATGTCTCATAATTACCAGGTGTCTCTCACAGTGCAACGTTTATTCTTTTTTCTTCGCCTAGATTTTAATGTACAGCTTCCTATAGAAAACCTTAGGGATAGTTGTGGGTGAGATACTTCTTCTCTTTGCTGTACCATCCATTTACTAAGGCGTGTCATCTGGAGGAGGAGGTAATACATTTAAATGCAAACAGCCCTATTCATCATTCTTTATTCACCTTGAGTGACAGCTGAGCACACCTGTTCTCATGGAGAAAGAAGGTCACAACTGTGGAAAAGACCCAGTCTTGAAAATGTATCTGTGAGCAGTATGTAGACAGAAGTCAGCTCATTGAGTAAAATCCTGGATCCTCCCCAACTGACCCCGAGTCAGCGACAATCTAGCCTGAGTACTAACGGGGTAAGGAATGTCAGTCTTTGGTTGGATTGGGACTCGTAATACGGTTACTCGTGTGGTGAGGTGTTACCAAAGCACCGGCCTCCAGCTGAACCTGCTGGGCTGCTTGTGTGAGATGCCAGGAGAGGGGTTGTGGAAAAGGCTGTGAAATCAACAAACACAGGTTGATTCTGAAATTTCCGTGCAGTCAAACTAAGTGATGATAGCTCAGAGAAATTAATTAAGAAGAAAATTTGGGTTTTGAACCACTAGGTGAGGTGCTATTTCAGTGCAGGAGATGGTTAGAAGAAGGGTCTGAAGCCATTAAGCAGATGATTTGGAATGCGTGACGTCTCGCTGTGGTGTGGAGGAGGAAGACATGGATAATGTGTGTCCTACAGAGAAGTTGAGGCCTTACCTCAGTATTCAGGTAACTTCCTCTGCAAATCTCTTCCCCAACGTTTAACCCAGCATGAGTGTAATTCTGTCACAATTGCTTCGAAGAGAACAGGTGACAGTTTAGTTCCCTTGGGAGCAAAGAGAGGTCCCGTGACTCCCTGCGGTGTGCCGACACAGAAGGGAAAGGTGTGTCTGGCTCGGCCCCTGGGTTTTGGGGGATTTTATTTTTTTTTTTCCAGCACTTTGTAAACATTTTGTTTCTGGGCAGCAGAGTTCTCTGCTAACAGAGTGAACCACAGAGAGGGTTAGTCTTAATCTGATGATTTTATACAATTAAAGGATTTGTCCTCCCTTCTCCTGGCTGTAATCTTAGTACCCCTGAATCATCTACCAGCTCTGCAGGAAGCAGCTCAGCCTCAGCCAGACTGCAAAGGTTTTCCAGTGCAGCTTGAAAGTGGGCAATTTAGTTTGAACAACAAATGAAGAAAACAATGGGATGTTCTGGAAGTTTGAGCTCTCCTCAGTTTTAACTGTTTCAAAAAGCTACTGTCACACATTTTGCTTAGGCTGTAGTTTTTGTGCGCTCTCTCAGTACAGGTAGAAGCTCTTCAAGATTCTTCATTCAAATTAATTTGCCAATCTTTTTGAGCATTTTTGAAAAAGCACCTAAAAATGGGAATAATTTCCATACTAAAGATTATCTGCAACTCCGTTCTGCTCGCTGCTATGTTGACCACCTTCCTCCTCAGCTAGATTTAACAGAGACATTCCTGAAACGGAGAAGGTTTCTTGCGTTTCACGGATGCCTGGCACTACAGGTAGTACTGGCACTATCAGAGGAGGGAACCAGCAGACTAGTTCACTAGTGTCACTGTGTGTATTCCCTGTAATTTCCTTTTGACAGGTACTATAGTGTGATGGAATTTTTTGTTCATTGAGGACTTTCAAGACTTGGAATTGGTGTGGTTTTTTACAATAGTTCACTATTAGACTTTGGTCCTGCCTATTGTATTCTCCTGCCTTGTTAAATATTCTGAAATTAATAAACACATCTGTGGCTTTTATTATCAAAAGAGTTTTTGACTGAGAATAAAATGGACTCATGTCTTGCCACCTGGCCTGCAACAGACAGACCCCGGTGCACTCTGCCCAGCCGAGACCTGCTCTCCTGCACAGGCTGGCACCGTGGGCTGGCTGGTGTGGGTCAGAGGCAGGGCAGCTGAGCTGCTGTTATTTGGCAAACCCTCCTAGTGTGGTGGTTTGGAAAGGACACAGTGCTTGGAGTATGAGCTTTGTTGCACGAGTGATGTTTGTCCTCAGTTACGGGGATCTTGTAGGAAAATGGGAATGATGGGGTGAGGGCAGGGAGGTGGTTAGGCACATAGCAAGCTATAATTGACATGCAGGCATGGAGTTTAAGTGTTACGAAGAAGTAACTGGTCAGCAACTGTCAAACGAGCTTCATGCTTCAAATCTCATCTTTTGGGAGCGAAGAATAGCACCAGTGGAGTTTTATTTTGATTTTAAAAGCAATTTTGCCTTGAAGAGAGATGACAGCTATTTCCGCGTCCTAGATTAGGGAGCTCGTTGAAAGACAAAGTGGACTAATTTGGTGCCGTGTTCCGTGTTGGCTTTTGTAGCAGAAACGACTTCATTCATACCAGCTCAGATTCCAGGCAGAGCATCTGCCTGGAGTCTCCCATGCTTACGCTGGGTACTTGCAAAACCAGTCTTTGATGGAATAGATTTTGCCAATGTTTTCTAAATATGCTGTAAAAACCATGGATTTTCCTACAGCGTTTTCCTTGACTGGTTTCCTTTAGCCTTCTGCTTTTACATATTGTTAGGAAAATGGATGGGACTTCGTCCAATAAAATTTTCCATGATATTTACATAAAATTCTGGTTTCTAATGGAAACATACTACAACGATTTCATGAGTAGAGCACCGAGCAAGGTTAAATAGTACTGAGGTTATAATATTAACCAGAGGAAACAAAGAAAATCCAAGTCCCAGTTGACAATCCGATCCTTAGTTTGTCCTTTTGTACTCCTACTGTAAATTATTTACAAAGGGCACAGCAGCACTAGTTCACCGACGGTCCATCAGGTGTAAGCCTTTATTTTTACATCTTCTGTAGCTTCTGTAACTATATAAATGGAATATATTGCATTTGATACTTTTGTATCCCAAGCAGTCCTCCTCAGTACTGCGTGGGACTTTGCATATCCCATGCAATTAATCTGAAATGCATTGATCAGATTTTATGTGTTTAGTCATAAAAATACATGCAGGCTTATGAACAATTATGTATGAATGAGTACAATAGAACTAGGTTCTCAATTTCTGGCTTAAATATCTAGTTGGACAAATAACAGGAATACTGATAACAACATTAACAATCTTAATGAAGAGCTTTGCAGAGAGCTAAATGCAAATACCTTGGCTGGACAAATCTGTAATTGTTCAAAACTGTGGCTGACTGTATCTGTACTAATTGCTTTTCTCAGCTGTATTCGTAGCAGCAAAACCTGTTTTTTGAAAGAGAGCACCAAAATTACGTTCATTCTTGCACTGAAACTTTATTATGCCTTAATTCTGCTCTTGACAAACTATGGAAAACGAGCTATGAATACCTGATAAACAGGGTTAATAATTTTTAACATTACCTCAGCTGTAACAGCAGCACTGTCAGGCTGGTGCTGCCACAGTGTAAAGGATTTGAAGACGAGAATGCTGGTACAACGAGGTCTGAATAGTAATTCTTATTTTTATGCTTGAAACACTGGTTTAATCACTGGTTTTCTCCATTAAACTACTTTATATCGACAACTTTCATTTTTCTGTCCTTTGAAGGTGGTAAATACGATTGCCGTTTTATCCATTTTTGTTACAAATGAAACAGGCTTCAGAGCGCTTGGCCGTGCATCAGTTGTTGGAATGCTGCCATACACTAATGCAGGCTCCCCGCTGTGAGCCCAGTGAAGAATTATACTTTGATTCACCAGATTGTATTAAATAGTCCAGCTGTTGGGATTTGAAAGATAGTTACCTCCAAAGTGAAATAAAAATGAACTTGGCATTTATGGCTTTGACCATTTTTATAGTGTTGGGCAATCAGCTTTTCAGAGGTAGCACTTTTTGAAATAACCCTCTTCTGGTTACACTGCTTTAAAAAGTTTAATTTGCTGTAACATTCAGAATACCCCACCTTGTATTTTCCAGAATGATTGGCAACTTTTGCATAAAATAAGCATTATTTGCCTTATGAAATCAGTAGCTTCTGATGATAATCAAATGAGTCTGAAACTGTATCTATTAGCGCCAATTTCTGCATTAATTAACTTATACCGAAATTCTAATGTTAGAGACAATTCTTGCAATTAAAGCTGGAACATGGAATTTCATTCGCTGTATCCAGCACTTCAGTAGCAAGCCGAGTAAGTTCTTCCTGAAATGGAAAGTGCAACAACTGTTGTTTCTGTGATTATTTCTTTGGTTTTAACCTGCACATTTGCTCTCTCTCCGTCAGGTGGGAGCCAGTGCATTCTCCGCCCCGTGCTCTAATTGTCGAGTGGGGTGACCTCTTTTTCCTTTGTCGTTTTCTCTAGGACAAAGACTGTCACAATAAAGGGCGGTTCATAGCAGATGGATCCAGTAAGCTGAATTTCTTTCGCTGGCCTCCAGTTGGTTCTACTTTTTCCTTTTAAAGGTGTTATCCTAGCAGTATGGAAGGCCGTTCCTTATGAGTAAGCATGAAAAATTTAAAAAGGAAAAAGTAAAAAAAAAAAAAAAAAGGCTCTGGACCAGCACATGCAGTGGCATTCAGCTCCACAGTGAGGCTTCCTGGCAGAGCAGAGCCGCACACCCATCGGTGCGTGTCGGACCTCCCTGCACGAAGGTGTTTTGCACCTGCCCAGTTTGGTGGCTGTAGCTGTATGAGCGTAGACATCTCGATGGTGTTCGTAGCGTCCTGTAAGGCCCTGCCTAAAGAGGGCCCAGCACGCACGTGTGACTGCCCTCTGAGCCTGCCTGGTTACGTGCCCTGGGGCACAGGGGCCAGCAGGCTCGGGGAAGCACAGGAAGGAGGTGTAAGCCCGTGCTGGCACACTGCGTGCCCCTCCGTACGGCAGCATGAAGGTGGCGTAGGAAACACCCCGATCTGCGACGTGCTCAGATTGTGCCTTCCCAGCATTTGCCTCATTCTCTGCTGGTGTGTTCCCACCAATCTAAGGATCTGCCTGCGCGTTTTCAGCACAGTACAAAGCTTTCGGATGCAGACAGTGCTTTTAGTGCTTGTAGCATGATGCCAGCCTCGACAGATAACCCTGGGGCCTCTGACCTTTCCTTCCTCCCTCCCTGCTCGGAGGGCTCTTTATCTGGCAAGCATCCCTGCACCGCGAGCAATCCCGGCGTAACCCCGTTTCCGCAGTACGGAATGTCGGTCTGACGCCCTCTGTACTTCAGCCACTCTGGCAGGTGAATTTTCAGAAATCATTTGCGCTTGCTCCCAGTGAGACCAGTAGCAGCCTGTTGGTGCCGAGCCGCGGCGGAAAATCCCTGTCGAATGGTAGAGCGTAGCGCAGTGGAAGCCCCACGCAAGCTGCTCTGGGATGGAGCCGTGGAGAAGCAGCCATGTTCTCCTTTCAGGCTGCAGGACTTCCAGCCTACAGGCTACAGGAACTGGTGGTAGCATTTTCTCTGAATGCAACTGCTCTGTCAGACGTCAGGGAACCTAAATCAGCTCTGAGATGAGCAGAGAGAAAATAAATTCTTAAGACTTTGAACTGATTCTATCATAGTCTTAAGGATTTTTTCAGTGCTTTAGAAGTTTGGTTTTCCTTTTTAATACCTTCCATGGCCAGCTTAACACGTGATTCAGGAGAGGTAGTGTGACTGTTGTGTTTTGTGAACTACCATCTGTATGTGACAGCTGGAAATCTTCTAGTTTAGTAGACCTGTCCTGGTCATAGGTGCTACTAATATAGAAATTATTTTCTGTATATTTATATTATTTCTCCTAAATGTGTGAACTCTTCTCTACATTCATACATTTATTCTCTTTCCTTTAGATCAACTAGTCATACAGAATTTACAAGAAAAGCTTCTAGCAGTGAAAAAGAGACAGAATCCATTGTGGTTTTAGATCCCGTTTCCACCGGTGGGGATCAGACGTCTGAAAACACGCTGAATCCGAACAAAATGAAAGAAGAAAAAAGCAGGCCGCTGCATAAAGAAACTGAGAAAATAAAAGAAACAGACAGTTCTAACTGTTAATTGTTATTCCGAAAGGCTGTATCTTTTGGGAATCTCGATCTGGACATGTGAATTGCTTAGGTGTGTGACTAGGGGCTGCGGTCTGTACTCCAGTTTTCAATAATACAGATTGAACTGGTCTTTTGTATGCAGTTTTGTTACATGCATTAAAGTGTTCAATAACTATGTATTACTCACTATCACTTTCCCATTTTAATTTCACAGGTATGGTTAATATTTTCTTTAAAACTCTATTTGAAAAGGCTTTTTTAATTATTCTCTTGTTGAGAAGATACCATGTCAAAAGCCCCTCCTTAAAGCTTGCCAGAAGCCCCTTGCATCCCTCTTGATCCGGACAGGTTCAGGTTACACCCTGCGAAGGGGATTACACACACATCAGCTTTAGTATGGGGTGTATTGCTAATAATAAAAAAAACCCAGGTTTTAGACACATTGCTTTAAAAATATTTTTCTGTCTACTTAAAACAAGTTGTTGTAGGTCTCCTTACTGCTGCTCCACACATGCTCCTTTGAGGAAATGACAAGCACAAGCAGAACGCTTCCGTTGCAGATTCCCCAGCGGACAGCTAGCCCAAAGCCTGAGAGCAGAGGCAGTGCTGCCTGTCGTTTTGGTACCGAGACTTGTGGTAACGAAAGCCAGAGTCAAAGCTCGTGGATTGGGATTGGTGCTCTCCTTTGGATTAAAAGCTTTTCAAATGAGGATTTATCTCTGCTGTGTGTAACACAAAAAAAAACTCAGAAAAGTTTGGAACTGCTGCAGCTGCAGTCTGTATTTGCTGCTGCGAAAAATAAGTTATCCTGGGCTCCCGTGAGCACGGAGTACATTTGGGATTCAGTCATTCTAGGATGGCAAGTTATTTGGAATCAACATTTTGAGAACTCCCAGCTGAAACCTCACAGCACTAACAAATGAGGCTTTGCTTCGAACCTGGTTCGCACTGGTGGCATTAATTTCTGTATTAGGTAACACTTTAGATGTCTGTATTTGATGACACAAATCCCAGTTTCCCTCAGCCCTAATTTCCTACGAAGACAGTGAGATAGGTACACAATTGATTTGCTCCACTGCCAATCCACGTTCCATTGCAGTCTCTTTTTAAATTCAACACCGCGTCTCATTCTTTGGTAACGAAGGAACAGACGTAATCAGGGATTTACCTAAAGATCGGTGTAGCTGAAATTGGGTGCTCAAGTACTGGAACGCACTTGGGTTATTTTTTATTTAATGATTAGAAACAGTGATAGTAGTGAAGGATGAATGTTCCGAGTCTGTTGGTTTGGTTCTGCATGCAACTGTCTGGTGCTTTTCCTAAAAATAAAATGATAGTAACGAGTGTGGTACGTTCACATCTTTTTTGGTGTTTTTTGCATGTTTGCTAAAAAAATTTTGGGCTTGGTCTAATTACTGAACTACATAGAATTCCTAAAGCTGGGGAAATTTGTCTCTCACTGATATCCTCATTTCTCGGGGGGAGGAGGGTTGGTTCTGGTCGTTAATTTTTCACTTAGGCATCTGTTACACTGAATTTAAAATGCAACACTTCATATATGTACTTTTCCTCAAATTATTGCTACTGTATTATATGTTCAAGTTTTCAAATTATACAAACCCCAGAAGTTTTTAAGAAGTATTGCTTTTACTGAAACTGTTACCTAGGACAGACATTATCTATTTATCTTTCCACTGTTGCTTATTAAAGAGACTCCTGACAAGTTTCCCAGACCTTGTGAAATTGACTTGTTATTCCCTGCCTTGGAGTGAAGCGAGCTTCCCAGTGATGCCAATTACAGCTTTGTGCCCTACATTTGGGGTTTGCACTGGTGCACTTGTATTGATAGCTAGAACTGGAGCAAAACTTCCCTTGTAGGCTAGATCTAAGAGCAGCATTGAGGGTGTGTGGGGGGATGGAGCAGCCTAACAGTCAAGGCCTTTGTTTTTTGTAATTTTTTTTTTTTTTTTTTTTTACTGTTTGTCAATAGCTTGCTCTTTGTATGGAGAGAGACTTCAACTTTCCCAAAACAAACATTTAGTTTTGGACCTAACACAGAAGTATTTGTTTTGTCAGTTTGTAAATAAGGCACAGAATTTCCTGATGTTTTCAAACTAGAGCCACTGCTCAGTTAACTTGGTTTTAGCTGAAAGCAACAGCATCCTGGGAAAAGAGCAGCTCATATCTGAATGCTTTTAAAAATGTTTAGCTAAGGTGCTGGAAAATAAATGGATTAAGGAATAGTTATATGAGTTTCCTACTAGAATTTTTTTTTTTTTAGAAATTTATCCAAATGTTAATGTTGACAACTTAGGTCAGCGTGCTGTTCTCTGGGAGCTGAGCAGGCAGGCTGCGATCCTGCAGGGCTGGCTGGGAGAGCTGGAGAGGCAACAAATCCTGCTTCGGGGGAGGAACTACATCAGAATGTCGTTTTTCTGGCTGTGATTCTTCAGCAAAAGCAATAAATTCAAGAACTGGTTCACCTGAAATAGAAAAGAAAAAAGAAGCTTGTTCTTATGTTTCCTGTAATCCGGTTTCTTGTGATGTTCTCTGGTGCTCTCGGATTTTTAAAAAATGCCACGTGATGCTTACGAGAGTCTCTAAACACCTTTAAAACCTGGTCCTTAGAAACATAGGAGCAACAGCCCTGCATGTTGATTACAGGATTAGGGCATGGTGCACAGCAGCTGGAGTTTGGATATTTATTGCATTCCCTTCACTAATCAAATCGTTTCACCTTGCTGCCCTTTTTTTGAACACCCATCTTCTGGGCTGGTGCTCTTGCAAAAGTTCCCATCAGCTGACCGTGCCTCTGCTCTACCCCAGCCTTTAACAACAGCACGTAAGCTTACAGGCTCGGATGTTGCTCCTGTCGTTAGCACTTCACCTCTGCTGGTTTTCCCAGTTCTGACACTGCTTCCTCCCTCACCTCACCACCCAGTTCCTTTTCTTGTCCCCCACACAAGGCCCACCCTATCCCTGGATACCTCTGGGCTATAGGGGATACTTTGCAGCAAAGGGAAGGGCTCTGTGGCTCAGCTCCAGAGCAGTTCACACGCGCCTTCCAGGTGCATCTGGCGGCGGAAACACAGCGTGGGTGCTGGGGCTGCGCTGAGCAGAGCCGCCGGCACATCCCGGATTGCTCGGAGCGAGGGGGCCGAGGCAGTAGGACAAGCCGAGGCCGCGGGCTGTCCCAGCGCTCCCGGCCCAGCTGCGTGCCCTGCTGGGTCGCTCCTGGGAGCACTCCTGGTGGGCCAGTGTCACCTCCCATCTCTGAGCCACTCACAGAGTCCTCTACTTCCCGGCTCCCGGGTGTATTCCAGAGCTCGCAGCCCAGACAGATGAAGGGTTTGGTATGCAGCTCAGACATGCTATCTCAATATTTCCCTGCTGCTGATTTAGTTATTGGATTTTATTCCTGCCAAACGATTAACGGCTTCAGGAATTGTTGCTATTTCATTTTATGAGATACAGGTTTTAATATTTGTCAGATTCCAGCTTTTCTGTTCAGGCTATACCATTTGAATAGGGAATATATTGATAGTGCTGAGGCAGTTAAAACTCAGAGTTCTATAATCATCTGTCTTGTTTTTGAAAAGTGCATTCTGTGAAACTACTTAGCAAAAAAGAATTTTTGGCTATGTTTCAATTTTTTTGCAATGACTATACATGAGCAAGGGGGAGATTTCAAATACTCAAAGAATACTGTCGATATTTTTTTTTTTTAATAAAAACTTTGTTCTATAGCGTGCACGTCAAGTGCTGCTATCCTATGTATGGGAAATTGAAAATCATAAGAAACAAGTGGGTAAAACGACTCAATTCTCCTTCATTTTTCTTTTTCTGAAGCATAATAAATTCTCACAAACCCTTTCCTTCCTTTCTTCCTCTCCTTGTCTCTCTGCCTCCCCTTCAACTGTATGCCTTTATTCTGCCTTGATTGATACCTGAGCAAGTGAGAAGTGGCTCTAATGAACTGTTAAGCATTTAACAGTGCAGAGTATGGTGTAAAAAGAAGATGCAGATCCTGAAACTCGGGCAGATGCCTACAAGTGGCTAAGGCTGAATGTGCCTAGTCAGCTTCGTTTTTTCTTGGGTTTTATTTAGTGCTTGCCCATGCGACTGTAGCTTTCCAAACACATTTTGCTGGAAATGTAAAAAAAGAGGGTTGTGAAATGAAGTTTTGTTAGCAATATATGTTTAGGGGCTTGAGGGAGGTGGGGTATTTGGCCTAAAATCCTGTTCTGGCAGCTTTTCGCCGTGTTATATGCATGGGTTTTGTTTTGTTCCTTTGCACTGTGGGCTTCAAGACTCCAACCAATTAATTCTGGAAAAAAGCTTAATGTAGGCTACTCTTCAAGAAGGGGTCTATTTTAACATTCAGTAAACAGATAATCCATTAGGACAACAATATACATTGTGGCAAGTGCTATCCTAGGTTTTTTTTGTCAGCACTTATTTATAGTCTTTTGATTTCGCTCCCTCCTGCGGTGCAGTTTCAATCATTCTCCCTCCAATCTTTGTTCCCGTATTCATTGCAAGCTGAAAACAAAGTAAGAAAGAAGCTCATACGTAGCGTTCTATTCTTGGCCAGTTCTTCCTCTATAGCAAGAAGGCGGTTGTATTTGGTCACCCTTTCTCCGCGGGAAAGACCTCCCAACTTGATAAACCTGGCACCCAGTCCAACAGCCTTAAACGAGAAAGTGCACGCTTTAAAACTGCACGGTTTGGGAAGTGAAGTCATTCCTAATTATTAAACACAGTAGCCTACTTCTAATTTAACACTCTTATCTTTCTACAGATAAAAGCCCTCCTTTAAACAGAAATAAAAATCTCTTCATGAAGGATTTGTTGGATGCAAACAATAATTTTCACTGGCGTATGAAATGAAATTTTGTTTGCAAATGTAGATTTAATCCGAAAGACTAAATACATTAGTGTTAAGAGTTTTTGCCTAAAATATTATTACTACTCAGAAATGTTTTAAGTGACTCGCACTTTTTTATAAAC